GCAAACAGGACAAACCAACTCACACACCCCGAACTGAAAAAGCAAGTGCACGTGGCTGGGAAAACGCGCAAAGCCCGCCCACCGCGTTCCCAGCCACGTAGGCCCTGGTCCGCCCCGCAGCCCGCAGCCCTGTCCCGACGGCTTCCTGCCGTGCGGCGCCACCCCGGGACTCGGTTAGAAACAGGCTGAGGCCCCCCTGCCTCCCACTCCACCGACGGGAGCGCAGGAAGCCGTGTTTAAACCGCCCCTCCCCGCCACTGCCGAGCCGGCTGATATTTGAGACCCAGGCGTTCCTTCTCCCTTCCTCCTGGCAGCATTCACACGCTCTTCTGGCTTCCAGACCCGACACCTCCTCCTCCGCCGTCTCCGCGGCAGATGCTGCCTCCCTGAGGCGCCCACCGCCGTCTGCGCCCCGGGGACACAGACGCCCCAGCCACGACGCTGCTGGTGCCGCGCAGGTCCCAGCTCCCCTCCCCCACGCCCTTTTCACCTCCACGTCAAGGTTTCAAACAGCCCACTGGGTCATAAACAACATTTTTCTTAATGCCTTAGGCGAGAGAGGAAGGGAGAAAGGAGGAAGGGAGAAAGAGGGAGAGACGCCTCAATATGTGGTTGCCTCTCACTCGCACCCTGCTGGGGACCAGGCCCACAACCCTGGCATGTGCCCTGACTGGGGCTCGAACCAGCAACTCCTTGCTTCGCAGAGCCGGTGCTCAGCCCACTGAGCCACAGCAGCCAGGCTTACACTTGAAATATCTTTCTCGATCCTAGTTCTCTCACCGTGGCCTGGCTTCTTCCCTCTCTCTTGCAACAGAACTCCTTTCAGGTGTTGTTTATACTGCTGGCAGGTTCACCAGGGACCTCCGGCTGCTCAATCTCCTGGTCAGTCCCTGGTCCTTCTCATGTATCACAGGTGCCCGGTCTGCTCCCCGCACATACACCGCTCCCCCCGCCCCCCGCCCCGCTTCCGGGAGAACACTCCGCCCCCGGGGCCGCCTCTCCTGCCCGCTGCGCTACTGCTGTCTCTTCCCAGCCTCCCAGGGCTGCTGTGCTCCGTCCGTGCCCCCTTCCCTCTTCTCTCCCAGCTCCCTGCTCTGGTGAGCCCACCCGGTCTCCTGGCTTCAAATGCCACCGGTGTGCAAAGGACTCCGCAGTGACAGCTCCCTTCCAGATTTCTCTGGGAACGCGCGCCTTCCGCGGCTCGGTCCTCTCCAGCTCCGCGCGCCTGCCCCTGAGCCTGCCCCTCCCGCGGGGCCTCCTCCACTTCTCCGCTCCCAGCAGCTCCTCCCTCCCGCGCCCAGGCTTCCCTATCTGTTCGTGCTCTGCACTGCTTGTCGGCAACTCCTGCCAGCTCCAGCGTCAGGACGCGTCTAGAGCCTGACCCCCTCTCACTGCCTCCCCGGCTGCCAGCTGCCCCCAGTTCCCCGCCGTTTCCCTCCCGGACCAGCCTCTGCCGTCCCGTCCCGCTTGGACCCTGCGGTCTCCCGGGTGATCCCTGTTAACCAGGCCACGCCCCGCTTTGCGCAGCCCCCCAGCAGCGCCCTGCTGCCCCCAAAGGACAGCCGCGTTCCTCAGGAGGCCTCCCTGGGCGCCGCGGATCCCCGGAGGCCGGCCTTGCGCGGCCCTCCCGGTCACTCTGGTCCCCCCAGGCCTCCTGCTCTCCGTGATTGACCATGAGTGGCGTGCCCTGGTCCCGGCGCTCTCTTCGCGAGGAGGTCCACGCGGCCAACCTCCTCCTTTCCTTCAAGTCCTGCTTCAAACAGGGCTCCCTGCACTGCCGCCGCTCCCTCTTCTTCGGCTTCATCTTTTCCGGAGTCGTCATTACCTTGCGGGGGAAGATTCGGTTATGTTGTCTGTCTCTCCTGGCTATGCCGCAAACTCTGCAAGGCGAGGGTCTTGCTTTTGTCCACAGATGACTCCAGTGCGGGGGACGGGGGTCCTTCCCAGACGCGCCGGCGCCCCTTTCCCAACCCCTGCCCTGCCCGTCTTCCGCAGCGCCCCTGCTCCGAAGCCCAACGCGCCCACGCGTGTTCTTCCAGAACCAGACGTGTTACCCCCGCAGATAATCGTTCACGTGCCGGTGGAGCTTGGCACCTGAGGTAGTGGGCTCTGCTCCTGAAGACCACCTGTGGCCCCATCCGCACACCCCCGGCCTGTGCCACACCGCAGGCCCGTGGGAGGCAGGCCCCTGGCAGCTGTGGAAGTGTGGAGGGAACCTGGGCTTCGAACGCGGAATCACTGCTTCTGTGAACCTAGCAAATGAAGTGCTTAGAGACGTGACCTTGCCTTACCAGCTTAAAAGTGTATACAGTTGTGACCAACGGTTAGACGGGCCTCCCAGCCAGGCGGGCGGTGGGTGGCCCGGGCGGCAGACACGGGGAAGAGGCCCGTTCCTCCGCCTAGTGCCGCGCTCCTGGCCAAGGCACGAGGCCTCTCCTGGGTCTCCGTGTCTTACCTTGTCTTGCGGGGCGTGAGCGAGGCGGGTGACAACGGGTGAGAACTGTCTGGGTCTGAACCGGGGCGGCCCCTCATTCGGGCTGTGACCCGCCGCCAGCAACGTGTGCGGAGGACGGTGAGGGTGGCGGCCCGTCCCACAGAGCAGGCTCGCCACCTGCAGCTGTCATCGTGGGACCGGGTCGCGGAGGGCCCGGCCATACACAAGGATGCCTGAGCGCGGAGCCCCAGCTGGGGCGCTCGTGGGTCATCCGGGCCACCAAGCGTGAGCCACCGCCGCCTTTTTAGTGGAGAATGAGACCTTCAGCGCGGTCACAGGGATCCTCGTGGAGCCGCCATGCTCTCTGGCGCAGACAGAGGTGGGAACCGTGGCCGACTGGCCAGGCATCGCCACCAAATGGTCTTTACTGACAAGACGAGAACCCACAGGCTTTCTGCAGACAGTTGTTCTTTACATTTTAAGATGGTATTTTGAATGTACACGTTTTAAAATTCAGGCACATTTTGGAGGACAGAGACCTAGCCAAGAAACCGTGACATTCTGAGGCCTCAGGGCACACACACAGCCCTGACCCCGACATCCGCCCGCACCGCCTCCCCTCTGCCCTGAGGGACCGAGGGCTGCAGCCAGCACTGCCCGGCAGCCCCTGGAAGGTGCGGGCCAGTGGGGAACGTGGTCATGCACTGCACACCTGTTAAGCACCTGCTGGGTGAGTAGGAAGGGGTCCGCCTGGCTGGCTTAGAAAAACAAACTTGCACGTAAAACCGCCACCATTTATTCCACAGGTGTTTTCTCTTTCCCTCCGTGTGTCATTCAGGAACAAGCCTAACAAGGGCTTTTCACATGTGGTGAGACACCCAGGGAGTGAAGCGTCACCCTCGTTAGTTCTGGTTTGGGGCACGTGGCCAGAGTCGGGGTTTCTGTGAGCTGCCCCCTCTGGCGGAGACTGGTTGTCCTGGGGGCCTTGGGGGAGTCTGGGGCAGCCCCCTCTGGCCCCAGAGCGCGCTCCGCCGCGCGGTCAGGATGAGGGGCGGCAGGAAGGGGCTGCGCCATCAGGTGAGCGCTTCTGCCCAACAGGCCCCAGGCCTCAGGACAGCACCTCCACCTTCAGGTAAGAGGTCAGATGTGCAGGAACAGGCCCAGGAAGTCCCTTAAAATACAACCATGAAGATTTATGTCCACGGAAGTCATCAACCCAACTTGAAAGAAAAGTCATGACTTAGAAACGGGAGTGCCTGACTCACGAGCCATCATTTTAGAAACGAAGGTCCCACGTGAGTGGCAGCTCTGCAACCCCCGGGAATTCCCTGTGGACGGAGGCTTGTCTTCCACAGGGACGGCCCTTCTCCTCGTGATAAAGGGAGGAGTGACCCACAGCTAGACGAGGGCCAGGCTGCCAGACACCTGGCCTGTGCTCTGGGACCCGGGCCTCAACTCGCAGGATGGGACGCCCCAACCCACCATCCCGCGATGAGAAAACTCTTCCCGAAACCGGAATCTACGTGATAGAATTGCGGAGTGTGTGCTAATCCACATTCATGCCCATTTGAGAAACAAAAATATCATCAGCACCAACATTTTCTCGGTTGCACGCTTCCCGTATGTGTGAATGGAGACCGGAACTTCCACACTTAAGACATTTCATCAGTGGGAGAGTTTGATCACTCAAATAGTGGACAAAATGTAAGGGCTGCATTAACCCCAAACTTACACTTTTTGGTAACTTACCAGGTTTGACATAAGTTTAACTGCAGGGACATAGGAACAGTAGAATATCTTTCTGTTTATCACCCTTCTGGAATTTTATTCACTGTAACTTAAAACAATTTAACACTTATGAGACAGAGGTGCTGTCGGCTTTGTAACACAGGCCGCGTCTCTAATCACCAACGCTTGGTCGCTGCTCCTGGATTGGCGGCGCGGCCCCAGAGAGGTTCTCCTTGAAAGCTGTCCCCGTCGCGGTCATGAAGCCCACGCTCGGCACCTGCTGCCTCTGACTGCGGGGGGCCTCTGGCACCCCCCTCTGCGGGGGGCGGGGCCTCGGGGGAGCTGCCCTGCACCCCGTGGGCTTCTTCAAAACACCAGGTGGGTGCAAAACAGAGAGGCGCCACCGCGGGCCTTGGGGAGGGCTTGGCCCTGCGGCCCAACGCCTCCCCCCACCCCACAGCTGCTCTCAGCGTCTCGCGTGGTCTTTCCCTCACGCTCATCTGCAAGGGCCCGCTGAGGTGCTGGACAAGTGGGATCGCTGGCTATTGCCCAGAGACTCTTTCTGCCCGTCCCCGCCTGTCGGGCAGGTGTGGGACAGCCCCCGCGAAGGCTATGTACAGACGGGTGCTGGGTGTGCCCTGCATGGCTGGCTCTGCCCGTGGGCGCAGAAGGGCTTTCAGTTTAGCACGACTTACACCTACAAACAACGAACACCAAGAGACATGCAAACGCTACAGAGAACTGGGTGAAGAGTTTGTGGTTTACGCCAGCAGGGGGCACTGTTACGGCTGCCACAGGCGGCTGCTGTCACTCACGCTCTGACCAGAGGAGCTGGGGCGGGGGTGGGGGCGGGGGCGGGAGGGGGGCGCAGTCTGCTGCTCCTTCTGTCCCTTCCTCGGACGCACAGTTGGTTCTCCGTCAGGCACTGAGCAGTATGGTGGCTTTTGGTCCAGATGGGTGTCTTAGTAGTCTTTCTACACCTTTTTGTCCGGCTGCGAAGAGGCAAGTTCAAACGCTGGAAACCGCGCTGTCTCCGGTTCCAGGACATCGGAGAGGAAGTGGATGGTGCCAGCCATGCCTGCAAGGTCAAAGGGGGGCCTTCAGGGGCTGGCGCAAAGGAACCTCTGCCACCTCCCTATCAGAAGCGGTGGGATCTGGGGAAGGAGTCGGGGGTTGGGGGGGTGGCTTCAGCAACGACTTCACAAAGAACAACGCAATCCTTTTATTAGCACCAGCAGGTAATGACGCCGCTTTTCTGCACTCTCTTATTTTGAAAAATTGGTTTCTGGGCTTTAATATTGTATTTTGAAACTTTGAGAAGATCTCACAGAATCACTACCAGAAAAGTTACTAGTGCGGCCCCTGAGATATTCCACCTTATACAACTTCCTATATCAGAGCCTTGACACTCTATTCTAATCAAAACGCTGCATTTTATATCTTATCTAGGTTTTAAGAATGCTATTTAAAAACGAACTTTATTGCTTTGGTCAAAATCCCCACCCCAGCCCTGCAGAGTGACTGAGCCTGGGGCCCCCGCACCCAGGTGTGGGGGCTTCCGAAGACGGGGGCGGGGGTGGACTAAGTGAGGTTCACTCCAGCGAGGCAAGGCTGGCTAATGTTTGAAAAATCTATCCACATTAAAAATCTACCATATTCATAGGCTGGAGAAGAAAAATCACATGATCTTATCCACTGATGCAGAAAAAGCATTTAACAAAATTCAACATCTCTCTGAGATTTGATTTAAAAAAAATTCAATTATTTATTCCTTCTGAGGTTTATTGGGGAACTCGTGTAAGACGTGGCCCTAAAGTAGTTAAAAGTTATCACCAATTTATCCTAACACCGTGTAACCTCTGTCCTTTGATTTCCGTGGATTCTCTCTCTCTCACACCCCCTCCCCCAGAAATGTAAAAAGTGGGTCAGTCTCTTTCCAGAGCTTCTCGTGGTTCCCCGGAGCTGTGTTCTGTATACTGTGTCTGCAGCAGACTGTTCATGTTGTGTTTGACTTCCTGTCATTGCTCTCGTTTTTCAGAACTTTCTTCAATATTTTCTTACTATTTTTTCCAACTACGACTATTTATGATTACTAACGCTTTCTAATCGCTAATATTAATTATTCACACTTCTTTATGTAACAAATAATTAAACATATGTAACCAACAAGCTGCCTGTGAACAGATCAATAGTTTATTCACAATACCGCAGATGAAGTGCAGAGGAGGAAGCTCCTCACTTCTTCCGTTACCAAGCAGCACACATTCTACGTCCTGACTGCACAGTTGCCTCGCAAGAGACCCAAGCATGCTCGGAAGACACTTGCAGGGGCACAAGGTAGGTAGAGAGGCTCACTCACTGTCATTTTTGGCAATAAACTACTCGTAATTATTGACAGCTGTGGAGACCAAGGGGCTGGGAGCCAGTCACGCGGAGACGGGCCAGGCCCACACACCCGGTGCTGGGCTTCTCTCCCTTACCTTCAAAGAGAGAATAGGGTCTGTCGGGGATGCGGCACCCATGGGTTCCGTATTCGAGACACCACTCTGCAAACTAAGAAGAAAGTTGTCCCTTTTTATGACTGGAGGTTTCCCTTGGTGAAGAGGCAACCAATGAGCCATTGCCGGGAACGTGCCGAGAATCACAGCGAGGGGGTTGCCGGCAGTGGAGAAGTTAGGGGCGAGCGCTGCAGGGTGGACCGCCAGCCCCCGCCCCCCACCGGTGAGCCTGTTACCATGCACACCACTAAGCAGAGACGGGCTGGTAAGCGGCCACTAGGCCGAGTTCCGGGAGAAGCGTATCCCTGATAGGAGGCCCAGCTACCACAATGCTAAGAGGGAACAGGCCCGCGGCTGTCTGGGGCGGGGGGCTAAGGGCTGCCGAGGGCAGTGGGGGGCCAGGGAGAGCAGAAGAGGAGGCGGAGGGGAGACTGGAGGAGCCGGGCGGGCCTTCCTCCGGGGGCAGTGGAGAGAGGCCAGGTGGGCTGGGCCGGAGACGGGGCCGCGGCCGGCCGCAGCCACCGCGGAGCTGGAGCGGCAGGCGAAGGGGAAGAGGGGCCTGCCGCGGACTCCCTGCTCCTGGAGCGCCCGGCGCTGCTGCGCTGGAGGCGGCCTTACCTTGCAAGCTCGGTAGAGGTACTTCTTGTCCTGGGTGAGGTGGTAGAGGGACAGGAAGGAGTAGCCATTTCCTGCCGTCCCGTGGCAGATCCCGTAGCCCTTCCGCAGCAAACCGCGCTGCCAGATCACATCGCTGCACTCCATGGCGTCCTTCAGGTACTTTTCCTCCTTAAACACCTGGGCGATGAAAAGCAGAGCAGTGTGGTGACTGCTGGCGGGAGGGGGGTAACCAGGGGGCTAAATGATAATGGGAAGAATACAATAAGGATTAAATTTAAAAAAAGAAAAAGAAAAGCAAAGCAGTGTTGAAACAGTGTTCTCAGTGAAGAGCTAGCAAAGTATGTCCCGTCTGGTTAGAAAACTGAATGATTTTAGGAAACCTGAACTGGCCCCAGGGATGAAAAACACACCATAAGCAGTGCCCACCACGCCCACTGAGGTCCCGGCCACGCCCACCGCGGTCCCGGCCACGCCCACCGCAGCCCCTCGGGGGTCTCTCTCCCTGTCTGTCTCCTGCCCTGTCCACCTCCCAGCTTGTGGTTCTGCAAAGGTAACTCTAAAGTAAGTGTCAATTTTAAGCAATTAAAATGCCGGCCAAAGTCGACCGCGGTGCTGGCGGCGAGCACGGCCCCGGCCGCCGGCCGCTGCGCTGGGCACTGACCCTGTGGGCCTGCATGAGCATGTGGATGACGCCCGGGGCCCCGTGGCACCAGTGCACCAGCCGGTCGGTCTCGTTGCTCAGCGACGACGGGTAGTTCCCCGACCGGAAGCGCTTGTGGCGCACGTAGTCGACGCTCGGCTTCACCATCTCTGCCAGGGTGTCTCGGTCCACTTTTGCTCCTGGCTTTAAACAAACAAAAACAAAACATTAAATATATCTTTTTCTAATTTTTTTTAAAACCTCTGTATTGTGGCTAATAAAGTTATCAATTACCTGGAATATTCAGAAACGTATAAAATTAGGATTAATTCCGTGTTTTGATTAGTTGAGATGAGGGCAGACTGTTTTTTTATTTCAACTTTCTGACGTTGCAGATGAGGTCCGAAAGCATCTACAAAATTCCCCCTTGCTCAGGGGAGGCCTTCGACCGAGCGGGGACGGCACCGAGCGGGGACGGCACGCCCCGCGGTGGAGGGGGGACTGCTTTTCCAAGTCTGCCTGTGTGAACAGGAATCCCACCCCAAACGTCCCCACAGGACCACTCAGAACTCTGTTGGCACAGATCTCTCCACGCTGTGACTAAATTTCAAGCGAAGCCGTGGAGTTAGCTAACTGTCACAGCCCGCTGACTTCTAAAATGGGGACTCCCAAATACCTACATCATCATTTTCAAAAATTGCGGTACCTGGTTAAAACATTATGCACTTTTCAGTATATAATGTGATATCTGTGCACAGCATCGCGAGCTGGCCACTCGGGGTCTAGTGCATCTGTTGCCGCACATTTGACCCCTGTACCCACTTCGCCCTCCTCCACCCCCCTCCCTCCTGGGAACCCCCAATCTCTTGTCCATGTCTACGAGTTTGTTCTTATTTTGTTGGTTTGTTTTTTTTGTTTTATATTCCATGCATGAGTGAAATATGGTTTTGTCTTTTTCCACCTGCCTTATTTCACTTATTTTTTTATTGGCACAGTTCTTACACAATTATCTTTCCCCTAATAGTATTACTACCTTAAAAAAAGGTTCAAAGCCACTGTTAAAACATTTTTCTGGGAAAATACAGGATATACACAATCTACCAACTGTCCAGAATAACAGTGCCATTTTAAAACAAAATATAGAATTCTGGATATTTTGGAAAAGCATGTCTGGACTATGAAGAAAACTAACAAATTGGAGTCTATACATGTTTTACCTTGTACAACAATAAACATACTACTATCAGAAAAAGGGATTTTAGTCCTTTGTTCATATAAATTTTCTATTTTCCCTTAAGGAGTAGTAGCATGGTGCAGTAGGTTTAAGAAAAAAGAACTTAAAGTAAAATTTTATTAAAAAAAAAATATAGGCTTTTGATTAAAAAGCGCTAAATTCTATTCCATGCTCCTCGAGGTACTAGTTCTGTGAGTTTGAGCATATCATCTGCCCTGCGCTGGTTGTGGGTGAAGAAAGGCCGATTGGAGAGCGAGCAGCCCGCACACACACAGGGTGGTGGGTGGGGACAGGCTGGGGGCGCAGGAAGCCCGTAGGGGGCGGAAGAGCCAGCACTTAATGCAGCAGGTTCAGCAACCACCTGACCGACCACAACCACAACAAACTAGTGAAACATCGAGGACACAACTGGTGGCCAGCTGGGGGTCTCTGAATGTGCAGGTCTCTGCCCTGGTCTGTTTGTTTTTGTTTGTTTTAACATTCACACACTTGAATTTTTATTCTTTTTCCATACATAGTGGCAATGACAAAGCTTTAAGATGCATATTCTATGAGATATGCACAAATAAGGAATTTATAAAAATAACTTATACTACACAAAATTAAAGTTCAAAAATACCTTCCACATCGTTTGAGTTCACTGTATTTACAGGGGCCAAGTTTCCCGCCTTCGATAGCAAACTAGATTATCTCAAATCGACAAAATGATCCATCTCTGTTTTTTACTCAGTGCACGGCCGTGCTCCCTGAAGCCTCTCCCTGCTGGGGGAGTGGCCCCTTCAGGCGGGGGTGGCACCTGCGCCAGGCTGGCTGCAGACTATGTTGCCGAGCTCACTGCTTGGGGGCGCGAAGCAAAGCCTGAGCCTCGTGATTCAAAGGAGGCGCCTTCGTTCATTCCAGCCTGCGTGCTTTGCATGACCATTTTAGCGCCTGTCCCTCTTTGACTGCCTATTTTAGGGTCCGGCCACTGCGCCAGCATTCCAGAGCGGCCTCACTGACCTGCATTAGCATGTAGTAAATCCCAGCCATGCCGTGGGCCGCCCCGACGTACTGCTTCCGGTGCCACTGGTACAGCAGGGGACAGCGCTCCGTCTTCCTCTCCTCCCTCGACAGGGCCTTGCCCGATTCAATAATAGCGGTGACGACCTACGGAGGTAACGAGACGGCATCCCTCAAAAAACTTCACGCATGGCCTGTCTTAGTCTAATGAACACTCAGAGCAAGGACCAGCCAAAACTGTTACCTTTCTTTCGCAAATGTATAAACAGCGGCAGAGAGAAGTCAGAAGACAATCTCAGGGTGGAAAGGGACATGAAGGCCAACCATGAAACCAAAAGTTCTGTGTATAAACAGTTTAGTAGAATCTAGAAAAGCTTCTTCTGAAAATAGTCTAGTGGCTTCGCAGCTGCTGTGCCCGCCCCCAGCCTGGCAGGCCCTGCGGGCGCCGGGAGGGCAGGGCTGTGTGTGGGCGAGGCGCAGACGCGCTCTGCTGCGGCGCCGCTAGACCATGGGGAGAGCCCCACTGTGACGTCTGCGGCGCCGACCGAAGTTGTCGGTGGAGGGATGGCCCCCTCCACCGACTCCCTCACGCTTTTGGTCACCGAGCCCCGAGTTTTAGCTGGGCGTCGGCCTCTGCGCCCCGGGTGGCTGGACGCGGCCACCTGCCCGAGTTCTGTAAGAGGGATGAGAGCAGAAGGGAGGGGCAGCTTGTCCTTCTCGGCCTTACAAAGGAAGCGGCTCATCCTCCTCTTCCTCGCTGGCCCCGGGCGCAGTGTTCGCCCAGCTGTGGCCCCGCAGGGAAGGGCCTGCCCCTAGGACGCAGGAGCACTGGACAGAGGGGCCCTCGCCCTACACCCTGCGCCCAGGACTGCCCGCCAGCTCAGGCGTCTGGTGGAAGAGAAATAAACGCACCGCCTTTCTGAAGCCATGGTGGTTGGATTCTAGTAAAGGCAGCCGAATCAACACAGGCCTAAGAGGAGGGCGGAGTTTTAAAGAATCCCTAGCAAGGACAACCGGGAGCTACAGATTTTATGAGATGCGTGAAGCAACTCCTGTTGCCTCGGAGCTGAGCGCAGCTGCTGCGACTATGGGGACAGGCAGGTCGCGGGGGACGCCTCGTGGGCGGCGCGGCCCCGCAGTACCTCTTTGATGGCCGACTCGCAGGCGGCGCTGGGCCCGATCTCCGCGTTCAGGTAGAGCAAGGCGTACAGGTACCCTGCCCGGCCGTAGAGCAGCTCGTCCGGGAGGTCTGAGTCTCGGCCGGCAGCCGCTCTCTGCAGCTGCAAGAGCCTGCCCAACAAGAACGTTTCTGTTTTCCTGGAGAACGTCTAACACACCCCTCCCCGGACCTGTAAGCGACCCCGTTCCTGTGCGGGTTGTCTGCCATGTATTTTTAATTTAAAACTGACTTGAAAAAATACAGAAAACAATCCCAAACAGAAAACAAAAACTTCTCTACTTAATTTCTCTTTCAGATACCACAATGAATAACAAAACATCTTTGTGTTCAAAATGTCTAACATCTATTCTAAACCGTGTAAAAGAAGAGATTCAATTTTGAAATCCAAAATGAGAAGGAAGTGACTTAAAATCTAAATGAAGTGGGACTAAAATGCGGCCAATGCCTGGGAATTAGGTTGAGTTGCCCATCTTTCAACACGAACAGGCTCGCAAGCCGGCGGCCAGCGGGCCCGGCACAGAGCCCCAGCGTCTGCTCCCTCAGAAAAGAACGGAAACCAGCAGGTGCAGTGACAGCTGACACCTTCCAATTGTTCGTAACAACTGAACCTGAGAATACGCTAATTTTCATGCACTGAAGGCAACCAAAAATTACTTCGGAAAAATGATTCAAGTAACACTAAGAAACACGTGTATGCCCCCCAAATTAAGGCAAACTCAGCTCGGGCAGGAAGGGAGCACGGGACCCCACCTCCGCTCAGGAGTCACACGGAGAACTCGCCACTGCTTGGAGGGGTCCGCGTTGCACCAGGAGATGACTCTTAAAAGACTTCCCGTTTGAATACCTTTCTACAGCGAGACCTTCCGCTGCGACCTGGACTTACTTGGTGATGCATTCCTGGGACTCGCCTTCACTTTTGAGTTTGTGATAAACCACAGCTCCCACAGCCAGCGGCCCGGCGTCCCCACAGAGGAAAGTGACCCTGCGGCCATTCAGATTCCGAAGTGTCCTCTTCACATAGTCCAGGGACCGCAGCAGGTAGGCCTGGTCACATGTGACCCGGTACAACTGCAGGTACAAGAGGGCTATGCCTGGAAAAATCCCCCCACCCCCCCAGAAAACCATTATTGCCTCTTCTTTTTCTCTTAGGACGTTATTTTTATGAGTACATGAAAAACCCATGTAAAAAACCTGCATCTCTCAAGGGCAACATCAAAGAAATCTAGGATAGATTTTTTTTTTTCCAGTTTTGCTTTTGTGAACTTATTGCTTAACTAACCGCTTCCAAATTAATGTTGGAAGTGCTATAATTTCCCTCCACATTGTGTTGGCCTTTCCTTCATTGCGTTGTGTTTTCTTCTTCAACTGACAGAATTTGATTTTCCCTTCCCCACCCTAATATTATGTATACAACCACTGAACTTTCTTCTGAAATTTGAATTAGATGAATTTGGACCAACTATTAACAGGAAGATCCTCTGGAAGAAGAAAAGGGTTAGGTAGCTTTCCCAGTTTGTAAAATTTCACTGCCACCTCTTCTAGAGACGAACAATTAATTTCATGTAAATTATGTTAATAGATTTCGATCCCAGGCCAGGCTTCCCTGATTCTCCTGACAGGGAGGCCTCCTCGCGGTGTCGTGCTGTTCCCTCCTGACCTAGGACAGCAGGTGCCACTGGCCTGTGGCTCCTGCCTTAGAACTCTGCCCCCCTTTTTCTACAATAGCACTTTTAAAAGGTCTACAGTGTCTGTTCCCGGAATACTCCCCCCGCCTCTTCTCTCTGCCTCCATCAGCATTCCTTGCCTGCTTCGCACTCAGATACTCCCTCCGAGTTCCCCCCGGGGGACAGGGCCCTCCGGGAACGACGCTCTGTTGACCTGGAGGGGCGGAGGCGCAGCTCTGGCCACCCTGGGCCCAGGCCTTCGGCACCTGCTGCCCCACTGTGGCTCTGCACAGTCCTTTGGGATGCTGGTTGCTTTTCACCCCTCTCAGACCTGTGTGCCTGCTCTAGCGTAATTTTCTCAAGGGATTAGTCGTAGCTGCTTCATTCATTCCCCTCATATTGCAAAGTTTTAGGAGAAAAGCTAGGCAGGTACGGGTCTAAGCAGGTTCCACACCGCCGCTGGAACCCCAGGGCCACAGGTAGTGTTTTAAAACATTCAAACCAGATACCTCCATGCTGGCTCTACAGGTGATCCCAAAAGATGACAACAAACGGAGACCTAAAAACGAGTACTGATTCCTGGCATCCTCCCCAGGGTCCCGCACAGGCGTTCTCGGTGGAGGCTGGTAACCTCGTTTACCACAAAGCCCTCGGGAGGACTCCGATGCCGCCACCTCAGGGCCTCACACCACAGGGTCAAAGCCCTTTCCATAACAAGAGATGCTTTAAGGGAAGGGCTTTTTAGGGGAAACCTGTCTTCTGATAACTATGTTAGCTTCCCTTTCAAAATACCTTTATTTGTATTTGATTTCAAGGTAGCCAAAATTACCTAATTTTACATTTTGGATAAAATTCTTCGGTTCTGTCAGTGAACTAACTGCATGTCTGGGTTTAAAAGTTTGAAAATTTCACTTCTAATGTCACCGTGTACATGTTGTATCCATTACGGACAATAATATGAGTATCTATCTGAACACAAATACAAAGGTCAGGTCCGCCATGTTTGCGAAACCGGGGTCAGCTCACGTGGCTCCAGCTGCACCCTCCTGTTGATGCTGCTCTTTGATTAAACTCCAAAGATTTACCAAGAAAAGGCTATATATTTATCCGTAAATTGCCATTAGTAATAATCACACTGCAGTCTAATCCCTCAAAACAAGGTCTGCCTTGATTTCTTTTATATTCCCCGAATAGCTATTACAACACTCTGGCTGCATCTTAAAATAATGAGAATGTAAAGATTTGGTGAAGGTCGGCTCATTTTAAAATTAATTTGATGTGAGGTGTCTTACTGGTTGCTTGTTTAATTACCATCAAAATAAAAATCTTTATGGGTACAAATCAGTCCAATGAATACAAGCAATAGATTAAATAGTTATTATATATAATGAACCAGAGAAATCACACAACTTGTCACAAAGATCAAAGCAAGAAAAGCAAACAAACAAAAAGAAACCGATCCTTGGGCAAGTTTGCTCTTAGGACACATTTTCATGGACAGCCACATGTTTTGTCAAATAATGTTACAAAAATAGGACATACTACATCATAAAGTTCAAACTTCCAGGCAGAATTTCTTTAGAAATAAAATGCAAAAGCATCGCTCCTCTATGAAGACAGCTCAACACCTCACTTAAAGGGTATAAAACTTGACCATTTTACACGAGAAAAAAAGTTTCCAACCCAAGCCTTACATGTCGCAGCCCAAGAAAGAGCCACACCGGTGCCGCGCCCGCCGCGCTCTCACCTGTCCACCCCGTGTAAGCGGAGCAGTCGTGCGGATCAGCTGTCTTCAGCCCTTCCTCCATCTGCTGCAGGAGGTCTTTGATTTTGGTCTGGATCCGCCTCGTGAAGTTCGGGCTGATCTGCGGGCCAGAAGAGGACGTCAGTGCGCATGGCGCAGGAACGGGGCAACGTTGTAACACAGGCTTTACCCGTCTGAGTCGTGAAAACGTAACTGACAGAAATGGGACAGCCCCGCCCGGCCCGCTCCAGCACTTCACTGGTTGCAGGTGCGCCCTGGTTTTATCAGGTAGGATTGTAAAGGAGATAATGCCCTCGAAAACCTATAAATCTTACCTGGGATCCCACAAAATATGCTTCAGAAATGAAAGGGAAACAAGGCATTACGGAAGTGGTGGATTCGACTATATAAACATTCTAACTTCTACAAATTAAAGAAGATAAGAAAGGTGGTTTGAAAGTTAATGACAAAAACTCAGAGACACAGAAAACAGTGCCGTGGCTACAGGGGGAGGGGCAGCGAGGCGCAGGAAAGGGGTCAAATAGTTGGTGACGAAAGCGGACTTGACTTTGGGTGGCGACCACACAAGACAACAGGCAGATGGCGTATCATGTAATTACACACTCGAAACCTATATAATTTATTAACCGACGTCATCCCAATAAACTTAAAAAGTTAATGACGAAAGGGAAGTACTTGTAATATAACACATTATAAATTAAAAAGACCATAACAATACAGAAATATACCTAAAATTATCAATGTACCCCGTAAAAAGAAAAAAAATAAAATGACAAGCATATGCACAAATTGTTAATCACTTAGCAATTAATGTAATGCAAGTATGAACAAGTACCATGGTTTGCCTATTAGATGAATAAATAATAAAGTATTTAAAAATATTATGGACCAATCCTGCTAAGAGCTAAGGAAGCAGGTACTCTTACCGCTGGCGGACTTTCTCAAGGGAAATTTGGCAACGTTCTTAAGCATGTATTTGTTCAAATTCTTCTGTCTGATGCTTTTGAAAAATCTAGTTGCTGTACCAGCTGCTGAGGTGTGTAAAATCCCTCATCATGAGTGCAGACTTGTCTACTGTGTGTCTTCCTTTAATCCTGTTCTTTTTCCCCTCGTGTATTCTGTGGCTCTCTGTCTGTCGGTCTGCTGTGAAGTGTCTTACTGGTTGCTTGTTTAATTACCATCAAAATAAAAATCTTTACGTGCACAAGTCAGTCCCATGAACACGGCACGGGCCGCCGGACGACTGTCCCACCTCCGTCACAGACAGACTCTCCATCCTGATTCAAGGCCCCTCTGCGGGACCACAGAGAAAACACCTCTGTAACTGAAAAAAGAATTCACCGCACCATGTAAATAAAAAGTTTAAGGGGAAAAAAAGAGAAAATGCTCTGATGTTACTGCACGCTCAGCGCTCCCAGGGCGGATCTCACTGAGGGGCGGGGTTGGGTGCTGAGAGCAACCCTTAGAAATTAAGCTGCCAGCGGCCGGCGGAGCAGGGGTGCGGACCCCTGAGAGCTGTGCTTGGCCCTGGGGGTGTCGGCTTACGTGCGGGAGAGGGTGCGGCCCTAGAACTGGAGATGCGAGGCTTTATCTTTTTCAGCAGACGGTTCATTTACCTCTCAGAGACTGAGGGTAAGATATACCCAGGGACACGTCCTCGGACGGGGAGAGGAGACAGACACCTCTGCCCCCTTTATGATACAACCTCATCTTAACCAACTTACATGGAAATAGGTCACATCCTGAAGGGGGTCAGGCTGGGCCATGTCTGTTTGAGAGACATCATTCACCCCGTAATACCCTCATTTTCATGACATTTCATGTCTCTCAAACAAATGCATACTTTGATATTATCTACTTTAATTACATTCCTAACATAATATTTAAAAAATTATAATAGTTGGCCAATCATAAAGTATATAGAAGATAGCAGAACTTAATTCATGTTCATTTTATCTTGCGATTTTATATGACTACGATGCGTTCTTTCTGCCTTTTTAAATCTCAATTCCCCTCTATTTCCTGCTCAAGAACAGCACAACTTCCACTCCCTGTCCCGGAGCAGGCGACCACAGCCACTGGCGTGGGCCCTGCCCTGGCGCACGCTAATTGCTTAGCTGCACAGAGATAACACAAGCCCATCAGTGAGTCATTTTCATTTCCTTTTATTGAATCAGTTTGGTATAGAGTTGAGGTCAAAATCGCATTTACCAGGTCCAAAGGGTAAAAAGAAAAAAAAACCCAATTTCAGGATCAATGCTGATCTTGTTCCGGGAGGCAGAGAATGAACTCAGCTGCAGGGGTTCTTTATTGTTTTCATGGAGACTCCGGGCCGGGAGGGGTCAGGAGTCTGTCCCCCTCAAATCTCACCAAACCTCCGAGTAGCCTCCTCACTCTCAGGACAACATTCAGAAAGCAGCTCATTGTAAATATGAACGATGGATTTTTTAAATGCTTGCCAACAGTAAGTATAAGATTTTTATTATAACAATCTGAATTCTAGGTCACAAATGTAACAGATATGTGAAAACAGAAGCAATGGGGAGAAACGTCAGTCCTGACACGTGCATTCTAAACCCTAAGACTGAGTTTTCAAGTGGAGCAAGGGCCTGGGGGTCCACGTGGCACCACAAAGGCAGGGCGCCAGGCCATCCCTGTGCTTTGTTTATCCAATTTGATCACTAACAGCCGTGTGAGTGATAATCACATCTAAGAACAGAGGGGCTTGGTGAACTCCCTTGCCTCTGATTCTCCATTCAGACCGATGGCTCTTTCAAAACTCCCTTCTCAGTTCTGGAAAACTTGTACTTTCGTAATACAAAACGCACGCGGAACCAGGGCAGGGAAGTGGTAAACGCAGTTTCACCAAACACAAACACGGTTATGCGACGTTCCTGTCGCCCTTCATTTCCACTGTCAATACCAACAAGGGACGTCTTATTGTAAATGGAGCCAGGAGGTGGGGAGGAAAAAGATCACCCTCGCACCGTTCATTCATTCATTGCAGCCGGTATTACCAGCAAGGAGAGGGAAGGCTGAGATAATTTAAACAAAGGACGGCATTCTTCACATTGGAGTTTCATCTCCTGCTTGTGAAAAGAGAAGGAAAACACCTCCGGGGGGACGGCAACGGCGCTAACCACAACCCTGACCGCGTTCTCCACCGAACCTCTGTTCAAAACAACCCTCGCCATTTTCCTCCTGAAACCTAAAAAAAGCTGACCCTCCCTTGTGTCTTCGAACTTGCCTGCCGCTTGCTACATTCTGCTCGTCCTGAACTGCAATGCTTCTGCTTTCCCCAAATTAAACTTTTTGAGCCTGCCTCAGTTTACCTGTTTGTTAGGTCAGCGCCACTTCCCCTACCAACTTAACTTTTTGGCAGACATCCTCTTTCCAACCCCTGGGCACACTGACAATGGCACTCGAAACGACAATACTCGCCAGCGATGCTTTTTCACGGCCAATTCGCAGGGTAGCGGCCCAGGGGCCAGTCCTGATACCATCGGCCCCGGGGAAAGCTAGGAGCAGGTTTGCAGCAGGTCTGTTTGGCCTGTGCACTGGCTGAGTGTGCTCAAGGGCATCGACTGTCATCAGATCTGCGTTATCAACTGCCACTAGAGCCCTCAGAGCCACTTCCAAGTGCCTGGAAACGGAGCGCTCCATCATGGCACTTCACAGGCACAAGGGGACACGAGGCACCCAACACGAACAAGGTGGCTAACACAGGAGCGGCGCCCAGTCCTCTGGGGCTGCGTCGCTCGGGAAGGACCCGGCTGGGCATCAGCGACGGGGGCGTAGACAAGTGCGCACGCCAGGCATCCTCCTAGGCCCTGCCGGAGGGCGCGACCCAGGCAAGGCTTGCAGGGTGACGCCACGCCCCAGTGGGCGGGGCGGCTTACGTCAGCTCGTCGCTGGGCGGGGCGGGTGGAAACTACCACCACTCGTGCTCCCCCCACCCGGCAGGGCCCAGGGCCCGGCCGAAGCCGGCCGCCAACTCACCTTCCCATCGTCGTGGAAGGGGAGGCCGAGCTCGTCGGGGGACGGCGCGGGGCGGGCACCGCCCGTCTCCTCGGCCGCTGCGGCGGAGGCCGCGGCCTCGTAGTCCGGGAAGGGGTTGGGGAACGCCCGCTCCTCCATTTCTGTCTCTCCGCTCAGGTGCAACTTGAGTCTCTTGGACATGGTCTCGCCCATCGCCGCCGCGCGCTTTCCCCAGCGCCGGGGCCGCGCGGTACGGCGCGCGCGCGGGGACAAACCTCCTGCGCGGCGTTTCCCCTGGAGTGGCGCTCGGGGACCCTGCGCGGCGGGCCGGGGGCTCCCTTACGAGAGCCGCGAGCTGGGAGGGCGAGCGGGGCCTCGGAGCGCGCAGGAGCCTCTCCGCGGGGCCTGCGGGGCCGGGGGCGGCGGGCACATCTGGGCGCAGCTGGTGCGCTCCACGTGGTGCCTGCCCGGCCGGACGCCGCCTGGGCAGCCGGGCCCGCAGGGAGCCCTCGGCGTCTCAGAGCCCGGTCGCGGCCGCCCGCCCCGTCCCTCGCCGCCTGCCTCGGCCTGCTCTGGGCGGCGCGCTCGGCGGGGCCGGATCCTCGGTCCAGAAGCGGCTCCTGCGGCCGAGTCCCTTCCTCGATTCTCTAGAGAAAACCGGGCCACCGCGCGGGGCACGTTCCCGCAGGGAAACCTGGAGAGAGAATTCGCTGTCATTCAAGGTGTCTGCGGTCCCCAGACGCGCCGTCATCCACCTGCATCCTCTCCAGCCGGGCGGGGCCGCCGACGCCCTCGGCCCCCCGAAGCGCCAGGCACGGGCACGGCAGCAGCTCTTTTGTTCAATAATAAGGAGGGGGAAAAAAACTATAAAAAAATTGCAAAACAGCCCCAAACACTGCGAGGATAGTGTAGTGCCTCCTCTTAATCACCGTTGGGAGGGGGTGCCGAGGGGGAGGAGCCACCGGCCTTTTTTTTTTTTTGTCTTTTATTTTCATGAAGTCCTATTGTTTTGAATAAACGGATACATTTGGTTACACGACAAAATGTGGAAGCATACTTAATCATTCAATTATTGAATTGGTCTGAAAGATTCCTCCAGCATTAATTCATTTGCCCAGGATCATAACGTGTATAAATAATAAGAGGACAAGAGCAAATGTCTCTGCACTTATGTAAACACAGCATGGCTAATTTAACAGTCTTGATTGGTTCTCTTTGCTCTTGTTTCGTTAATTGTTTGGAACCCGATGCAATGATTTCTCCTCCTTGAGGAAGAAATCCTGTTTTACGTTTTTTCCCCCATTGAATCCCTGATTGAATGCCAGATGGTACTAGGTGATGCCAAATAGAGATTAAAAAGATAGTTTCTGCCCTCAGATTCCAAGTCAGTGGGTGAGAAAGGTAAGGATCACAGCACAGCGTGGGATGGATACCTTTCTGGAGCCAAGCAAGGGAGGCCCTGATGTGACAAAGAAAGTGACAGGAGAGAGGAAAACAGCCCGGGGCGCGCCGGGGGCCTCGATCCGCCTCTCTGAGGTCTGGCGTCCCACTCCCGCACCTGGTACCACCGCGCCCGCTGGGCTGAGCTGTGCAGGTGACCACAGGGAACGACCGTGTAGGAGGAGATCACTTGGAAGGCGTGACTCGGCATAATATCCTCCGAGTTACAACAGGGTGCCTGGTAGAGCAGGACACCTGCTAAGGCGGCACCCTTGAGGGCCCCCCCGACCCCCTGCTTCATTCTCTGTCCTGGGGCCCCTCTTTCTCCCCCCCCCCCCCCGTGAAGGAAATGTCCTCACTGCTTCCAAATTTTCATGCCCTGGATGCTCACCTGCCTTCGGAGTGTTAAACAAAAAACCTTCACCGCCAAAAGCTTTTCTGCAAGAAAGGGTTTCCTGAGCCTCATGCTGGCGGGCGAAAGGACCGGGGCCTGGGGCGTGCAGTCTGAGCCACCAGCTGCGGGGCTGCGTGGAGAGGCCACATGCCCCCCGTCCTGGAGCTGACAGGGCGCTGTTATGCAATAGGTTTGGAGAAGAAAGGTGTTAGGTTTTTAAAAAAGAATTTATATTGGCTAGAGGTAAGGGGGGAGGGGCGGGAAAGGGTCAAAGAAGGAATCAAAAGATAAATAAAACACACCCTGAGACAAACGAACACGGAACTACCACCCTGGCTGGTGCGGTTCAGTTGGCTGGAGCACTGTCCTGTAAACGGAAACGTTGCGGGTTCCATTCCCAGTCGGGGCACATGCCTGGGTTGCACGTCGGTCCCTGGTCCTGGTTGGACCCATGTGAGAGGCAGCTGATGGGTGTTTCTCACATCGATGTTTCTCTCCCTCCTTTCCCCTCTCTCTGAAAATCAATAATCATGTCCTCAAGGGAAGATTAAAAAAAAAGAAAGAAAAAGAAAAGAAAATAGAAGTATGACATACCAAAATTTAAAGAATACAGCACAGGAATTCTTAAAGGGAAGTTCAGAGTGATATACGCCTGTCAGGAGATGTCAAAAATGAACCACCTCACTTTCCATGTCAAGGAACTAGAAAAAGCAGAACACATAAAGCCGAAGCTAGTAGATGGGAACTAACAGCGGCCCTGGCCTATGTTTTGCCTTCGTCTAGAGAGCCTGGGCAGCACCACCCTCCCTCCTTCCACCTGAGAGGCCAGAGAAGCCAGGGGCCTGTGAGCACGGCGTGCCCGGACGCACTGAGGGACGCGGACCTCCCAGAGGCCCGAAGCTGCCGCACGGACCGGACCGCTGGGGCCGGCAGGCGTTTGTGCGGGAGGGAGGGCTGGAGCCGAGCTAGGAGGCTTGAGTGCTGGTGGATTCTCCACAATAAAGAGATACTCTCCTCAGAGAGGCGAGAAAGCATGTACCAAGCTGGATCCTGTGTGTACGGACTGGTCCCTTCTGGGCTCAGGCCCCAAGGGGTGGACTGTCTCAAGAGGATTTACAAACAATCATAAAAATGACGAAAGCCCACATGCTTTTTGTTGTCACTGTTCCCTGGAAATTCCACACATTGTCTGTGATAAAAGACTCCTCCCCCAGGCAGCGCGGTGTCAGCGCTGACGAGGAAGGAAGAGTGTGGAAGAAAAGAGGCTGTGTTCCAGGACCACGAAAACATGTGTGCACTCATTTCATTGTGCTTCTTCCTCATGACCCCCAGCACCATGAGGGCAGCTGTTGTGTTTGTACTGGTTTACTTTACCGTGGCCTTGCACGGTGCACGGCACATAGTAGGCATTCAAAATACTTCATGAATGAGTGGGTGAATGAGTGAATGAAGAAGTCCCACCTGGAAGGGACTTTGGAGAATGAGATTACGCTGACCTATTTGTACATGACTTTTCCACTTTTAAAAGGACTTCAACATTCATTTTCTCATTTGCTCGAACATGAGAGGTTGCTAATACCTGAATGACTTGGACGGTGCCGGTCCCATTCGGAGAGGCGCAGAGCTGTGCCCGCCGGCACTACGGTGCTGACTGGGATTGCAAAGCAAGTCTCCTGACGCGTTCCATCGCGTCCGGCTTCCTCCTTTCCCAGATGAAGAGACGGAGGCCCGCAGAAGTAAAAAGAATTTCTGTTGGGCTGCACAACGAGGTTACATGAAAACAAAGTCCTAGTGGAGGTAAAAACTGCAGTCGGGTAAAAACAGCCGCTTTTCCTCCCATTGTTTTCCTGAGGTTCTTTCTTTCTGGCCCAAGGCAGATTCCTCGGTGCCTGTGGCAACACACTTTCCCACCAAGATGTTCTTTTATAGGAGTGAAATAAAATGGAATGGAGGGCCTTCATTTATGTGACTATGGAGAGGCCATTGATCTTATTGGCTATGCACAATCTCTTAGGAAAATACTGCTTCTGCTCGGTAAAAACATCTTCATGTCCTTTCCAGTACGCTCAATACGAGAAGCAATAACCCTAGTTTGAAAAGGCTCCTACTTCCATGTACACGCGTTCGGGACAGAAGCCCAGGGCTATGAGGACTTGGTGCAAACCTGCCCCTGCCGCGCGTTCCCCAGAACCGGGCACCGGAGGGAGGAGGCTGACCGGGCCTCCCCGTGTGTGAGCCGGCCGTGGGGGTCCAGGGTGCCCGGGGCCTTCGAGCAGCCTCCCACGGTCTAACCCCGCCGCACTGGGTACGCCACTGTCTCCCTCTCTCCCCGTGTGTCAGCGCCGGGCCTGGCTCAGAGCCTTGATGACGGAGCAGGAGAGACAGGGCCTTTAATTGTCCTTAGAAGGCACTCTAGTTGTTTGCAGTTGGAATATTAAAACAAACAGACAAACAAACAAAAGATCTTGTTTAGAAGCACGTTCTCTCTGAATGAAGTCATCTCACCAAAAGGGGTCCCCGGGTGTTGGAAGCTACTGCTTTGGAAGAGCAAAAGCTTGCGGGAGATTGTGTGAGGTAGGGCTGTTCGCTTGGATTCTGCAGTGGGAGGTTAAAAAAAAAAGAATAATCGCAGGCTTTAAAAAGATAACTTATTGCTTGACCTTGAGGAGTTTAGTTGTGTGTAAATATCACAGATGTCTCTGCCCTTTGGAGAGCCTCTCCCGTTTGTAATATTTTCAAACAGTATTCTAAGAAAATAGATTTTACTTCAAACAGCGAGCCAACCTCACCTGCAGTGGCACGTAGTTTGTTGCTCAAAATATTTGCTGCCCCTCCAGACACCTAGTGGGGTGTGGCAATGTTTCATAGAGATATACTGTGCGTGCTAATGTCTGCCCCCCAACGCTGGGGTGCGGCAATGTGTCATGGAGAAATGCTGTGTGCTTTGCCTTTGGTTTTATCCAAGCCCCTCACTGTTACTCCTCAAACTGCAATTCCATCCCAATCGTCTTTAAGAATTCTCCAGGGCCCCGAAAGCAGCTGTGTGTTCATTGTCTCATTTGGCCCTCATTAAGACCCCTCAGCTTCTCAGCCCTGTGGAGATGGGGACTCAGGACACAGCTGGTACCTGGCGGAGGCAGCGCTGGCACCAGGCTGCCGCCCAGGGCCCAGCAGGAACTCACCAAATAGGTCCGCGGGACGCCTTGACCATGGCCCACACCTGCAGTAAGTCTCTCGTTATGATACATAACCTGCACACCTGCAAGTGAAAAAATTGAAGAGCACGGCAAGGGGCAGTCACAGGCCGGGGGTGGCTCACTGCCGCCAAGGATGCAGACCACAGAAAAGACGGCCACATGTTGTCACACGCACTCAAAACCTTCAGCGAGCTCTGCCCCTTCCGTCCCAGG